TGCTCGATCACGGCGGGGTTGAGCCACGCCTATACGATCATATTGTAACCAAGGTCCAGCTCCCAAAGGGGGTTGATCAAACCGTTGCAAGCCACCCGCTCCCTTGGCTGCGAGAGATGCCAAGAAATCCGCCACAACGTTCATTTCCCGATGACCATGAACAATCTGAAGGTCCTAAGGACGCCCCAACAATTCTTTAATGCCCCGGATGAGACTCGCATGAGGCCCAGTAGAATCCTCACTATGAACCAAGGCAATGATGCTTTGATTATCCACTTCCGCCACAAGTTTACGAGCCCCTATATCCCACGCTAGCTGCAAACCTTGGAACAGACCCCAAAGTTCGGCTCCAACAATAAAGCAGACAGAGTAATTTTTCTTTGGAGAGATAAATGAATTACTTTTTTCAATAAATAAATAAACGATTATCTTGATTATTAAAGAGAACATAGGGAAAAATATTCTGATTATTGCTGGAAGAGGAAAAAACAAAAACAAAAACAAAAAAAGGTTAAAGATCGATATCGAACATTTTAATGTTTCTTTTTACTTTTTGTTTTCTTTTTTTTTTTCATGCCATTTGTTAACCAATATGGACATAAGTTGTCAAAAATATACACACAGCAAAGCAAACTGCAGTTCCAGACTAATCAAAATTTATTCCAACCAAGAACCACCATATATGTATACACCGTCTCCACAAATGAATGCCTACAAATTCCAAGTAGAATAGATTCAATACATATGCTACAGCCTACAATCGAAAATGCCTTCACGACACCTTTCGTATGTAGCATCCAATTCTCAGCGTCCTTATATCCCCATCCATATATCTTCCTTCACACAGACCCCTGCAATCAAACAACGATGCAAACAAGTTCAAAACCAGCTATAACAGGCCGTGTGGTAGAAAGTAAAGCAACCAAGTTTCCATTGTTTAAGTAAAAGCAAGAAACATCAGCTGATGGTTAACAAGAATACAAAGCCATCTACTTCAATTTTACTTTAATTTGCAACAAATTGTACATGCTTCTTCCTCCAATTGGCTAGAGGAGTTTTTTCTTTTCTTTTCTTTTCTTTTTCTCATTTTATTGATTGACGCGCTGAAGAACATATAATAGTTCCAATCTCATTAAAAAAAACTAATCATGAAAGTAATGAGGCTAACATAATGTAGCATGCAAAACAATGCCAAACAAAACAAGCATATCATCAGGTAACATCAGTCCATACAGATCCACACATCTAGCTATTGCCTAGTGGTAAAGGAGAATAATTTGGCCTCCATATTGCACATCCAATAATAAACAAGAATTATGAGAGAAGCACCTCAACTGAAGTATATAGGTTAAGACAGTCAGAAAGAAACAAATACAAAAGTAGAGCAAGTCCCTGATGAAATTCCTTTTGGAAGAAGACATTACAACTAAATTTGAAATGCTCAATGTATCTGCAGTAGCAAGTAAAACAAAGTTTTATTGTCCAAGCACAAATTTTTCGTATTTTCTGAATGTGAAGGTAAGATTTGTTAAGAAAACTTCAAGGACCACATCCAAGAACCAGAAACAAGAATAAAATAAACTATGCTCCTTCAAGACTAAACAAATCAGGCATATCTAGGCGAAACCAAATCCTTGAATCTCAATCCAATCAGATGAACATTTCACTTGGTATGCCAGGTTTTAAAATAGAGCACTTATGCAAGCAAAGTGTGTTAGTGGTTAAGTTTTAAAACTGACGAAGGCAGGGAGATGGGCATTAAAAAACTCAACTAGAAAACAAAAGTACAATACAAAAAAATTAACATCATGGTACCAGTTATATATTAAAAAGATCCTCACCTAAACAAACATTAAAGTAAACCCGCTCAATCGCGTAGGCCAAGCTCCACCTCAAGTTCATCATCCTCCTCAAACAACTTCAGCAAGCGAGCGTACTGCTCTTCACGTTTCTTCTTTTGCCAAAATCTGAAAAGGAAAAATGATAGCAGGCCAACAGCCACAATGGCCACACATACAAGTGCTATCTTAGATCCATTGCTGCCGCCATTTGATTCCGTGTTTTTTCCCTTTTTTGGAGTTGATGATTCATCAGCATAAGCTGCATGAAAATTTATTTTCCAATACTGAGTTAATGGATAAACAGACAGGTATCTTCCAAATCACTAGTAATAAGGATAACTTGAAAGGCAATATTTATCCAAAACAGGACAATCTTTATGTTGAAGCAAACAACAGAAAAATGGCCATTGATGCTATTATTCAATCATAAGATTAACGAGGGATACAATTATTTTGGAAATATCACTCAGAACTTATCTAGAGACAAAGCACATTAAAGCCAAAAAATCAAAGTGAAGGGCATCCAGACAAACGGTGCAGTAGGCTCTTATTTCCCGAAACCAGAAACACTTTGGATTCCTAAAGCCAATTCAACACTTTTAACAAAGAAAACTTCGCAAATCACTAACTACCATTCTATTGATCGGTCAAGATATTTTCTATAATTCTTCATCACTGTCACGGAAAATTGTGTTTTTAGTTGTGCCGTAGGAAGTTAAACAATTTAAACTTAAGCCACTAAACTTCATGTTCTCATCGCATACTTGCATATCCCTGATTATGCAGAAATAGTAATATACAAACTACTCTTCCTAAATTTCTGTTTACAACAACTGAAGGTGGTCAGCAAGGATAAGTAAAGGCACAAGATTCAGTGACCTCAAATGGGGTACGATAAAAATTCGACAAAGATGACGGGCATCAAGTATAATAAGTCAGATAATTACTCGTGATATAACTTATTAAGAACTCTCAATCTTTCCCCAAATTTATCCAAATCTTATTCTTCTTCTTCTTCTTCTTCTTCCCTAGTTCGCCTAACGAAACGCAAAACTTACAAACAGAAATCTTTTTACACACTCTTTAGCATTTCAATCTTTCGTGACAAAATAAAAATGAAGATAAAAACGACCTTCTGACAGATACTCTTATTCGTATTCCACTTTAATTGTTCGTCTCTGTTCCACTTCCCACCTTCTCCTCCATAGTTCTTCTACTTTTTTATTTCCCTTTTAATGGCAGAAAGATCAGATGCTCTGATCACAACAAACTATACTCTTATCAACTGCTGAATTCTTTCCCCACATCGACAAGAAACAATAACGAAAGCCAAATTATCAACGGAGAGACAACGAAATCAAACTAATCATACATGCTAGCGAATTGTAAGCACAACGGATTACTTTAAAATTGGAGAATCAAATGAAGATCCGAGAGTGCAAGTAATCTCACCTGAAACGAAAAGCAGGAAAATTGCTGATAAGAAGGCGAGAAGACGAAATCCTTTCGGAGTTGAGATCTCTCTCATCTCTCTTTCTGCAAACTTGCGATTTCACTATTCTTATGTACAATTGTGTGCTTGTTTGTGATCTCTGTCGTGACTCGTGACCTAACTGTGGGTTGCCTTTTGGCTTTTACGAATCAGATCCAACAAACTGCCAATATTTTGAATAATTATAAGAAAAATGCTACAAGTACATAAAAAAATTTATATAGGTACTCACATGAAGTAGGGTCCACTTATTTTTTTTTATTTTGGTGGGTCCCACTCAATGTGAGTGTTATGTATTTTTCTATGTACTATATTATGTACATATAGCTGTTAAAATTAAACGAGTCTGGCTCGGCTCCGCTCGAGCTCGGCTCGATAAGGCTCGAAAATAGAATTTTTATATAATTTTTATAGTTCAGCTCGTTAAAGCTCGAGATCGGCTCGAACTCGATTTTATGCTCGTTTATTTAATGAGTCGAGCTCGGCTCGGCTCGTTAAGGGATCGAGCTCGGCTCGACTCGTTTACAGCCCTAAGCATTACTCTAATTATAAATAAATTATTATACTAAAAAACTAAAATTTCTAAAAACTATTTATTGCTCAAAATTAATGGTGAGATATTGTCTACATTTAAAAAAAAAAAAGGTGAAATACACACCTATGCAGATAATTGACAGATTTAGTAATTTTACTCGGAGGGGCTCAATTTAAAATGTTAAATAACGAGCTTATAGTTTAAGTCGAAATACTCATTTCATATAAAAATATATTTACTACAAATTTAAATATAGATACGTGTACAATCGAATTTTAAGAACTTAAAATCCGTATCACCATCAATCTTTTAAACAATAACAAAAAAATAAAATAAGAGAAGAGATTTTATATATTTATAATTTAAGCTCAACATCTATAATTTATAGATAGTAAGTTTTTTGGTTGAAAAATTGATTTAAATTGAACTTTTGCACCACATCGCATAATATTTCTGTTGATGAGATCTTATCAAAAGAACATTTTTTAAGAAAAAATAAATAAGTAAATAATATTTTTATTACACAAAATAGTAAAACAACATCAGAAAATGTAACAATCCAACTAAATACTCGGTTTATAAATTACTAAATCGATTTAAAATTAAGAGAATGAAAGAGTAAATCATTATAGATATTTTCAAAAGCTTCCAGAAGTTTAAAATATAAGGATTGTTAGTACATTTTTCAATATATAAATGATAATATTAATTTACATAAAAATAACACATGAAAAAAATTTCAATTATTAATATATTGTAAATATTTGTAGATATTTTTTACATTTCTATACATATTTTATAGTATTTTCTTAATATATATATTGATTTTTATTAAGTTTTAATTATTAAAAAATACCTTTTGTACATATTTTATAGTGTGTATATATATATATATATACTAATTTTTATAAACAAAAACTAGTATATGGACCGTGCGATGCACGGGAAGAATATTACGATTGTATTATAAATTAAATATATAAATAACGTTAATCATGATTTACTCATTGTTTTTAAAACCAGACCGGACCGAACTATTCTACCGGATGGATCGGGAATCGGTTTATCGACCAATTCTGTTTGCTTGAATAAAATATTTGCTAGAGAACAATTAACACAAGTCGGTCAGACGACCGATTGGAAGTATCAGTACGATTTTTTAAACAAAGTTTGTTACATTTAAATCCACTTTTAATATGAACATAAATTACATAATTAAATAAAATGGAGATTTACAAATTATCTATCGTTTAGTTTAAACATTGAAAAATTTTAAATTGTTTAAATTTTTAATTAATATTTTTTTAATAAAATTATGATAAAAGGTACAATATATATATATATATATATATTAAAATATTAATAAATTAAATTCTAATGCAACCAATAAATCATTGAATAAATAACTTGATCGGTTTGAAAACAGTCCTCTCCTCAGAACTTTGGATTTACCATACATTAATAAAATTGTAATGCAATATCATTTTGTTCACATAAATATTAATAAAATAATACATAATTGTTCATACATTATTATATATGTTGTCATAAAAAGCATTTATTAATATGATTATTATTGGAGTATGAACTATAGCACATTTATTTTAATAAAGTATTTTTAGTATTTAAAATATATTTAGTCTAATAATCGATTTGGTCTGGTTAAGCTGACCCATAACTTGGTCACTCGGGATTAACCTCAGTTGTGTCATTGACCCATAACTCGGTCACCAAGAACCAACCTTAGTTG